AGCCAGATATTTGGAAAATCTACCGTGATAAATAAAGCTGTCCACATAAAGTTAATAATAGACATGAATGCGTTTGGAATTACCTCAATTACATTTGCACATTCGGCCTAATCAAATCAATTTCAACAAAGCAACCAGTAACAATAAGCAAAGAAACCTTGTTTTTGTGATGCAGAAATGCATAATCACAGCCATAATTATTACCTTTCACTAAACATTTCTTATTCCTTGTGTTTCTTAAAAAAAATAAATAAATAAAAAAAAGTAAAAAAGGCAAGATTGGAGAATTGATGCCTAGTATATTTATCTTAACCTCAGTCATTACTTTCATTTGGAGAAAACGCATCACTATAGGGACAAGGCTCAGTTATCAATCAGACACTAAACTCTCTCACGCTCTGCTGCTCTCTCATCACCTTTATTTAGTCAGCCCCCACTTTCCTTTCTCTCAAACACAGAGCGGGATGGAGGAGAAGCGCCAAGGCTGCTTGACTTAGAAGATGGTCAATAATCTAGATCAGCTTTAATGGATGCATGAAAAGCAGTACAGCTGCACAGACACTCCCTTGAGCCTTTTTTATTTTTTGCATGGGAAAAAAAAAGTAACTTATCAAAAGAAAACTTGTTTTAACATGCTTAAAATTTTAATCTAAGAGAAATATATTTACTTGACTGCTTATAAATATTGACTTCTTTTTTTTTTCCCTTTCCTTTACACAAACACCTACGAAGATTAGCTCGATAGGGAGTGAGAATGCTTGAAACATGCTGAAGAGTTGGCTGAGGTTTTGCTTCACATGACCCAGTTGGGAAGCACTTTGATTATGCAACACAGACAAGACTTGATGATGATCACAACACGTTATTAAAGAAAGAGGCAGAAACAGGGAAGATAACGCATGTATCAGGAAACACTGAGAATCAGAAAAAAGGTGCAGAGTGCATAGAGGAAAAAAGAATAAGAGATAAATAAAGGGGGAAAAAAGATGCAGCAGTTATGCACAAGGATTGCAGCAACATATGAGAAGATAAGAGTGCTTTAACACTCCCAGCAGATATTTTCTGAGGCTTAGCAAATGTTCCCAATTCCCTTTGCCTCCTTTAGCTACTTCTCCATTGCTACAGATTAAACATGAGTAAAGAGTTTGCAAAGAGAGGAGATGGGAAGGAAGAATATGGGGTGGAAAAAACAACAACAAAAAACAGAGTTTTGTGGTTGCCATGGTGACAAGAGGGGAGAGATTCCAGAGTGGTCTCGGCCATTACGCAGTGTGTTCGGGAGATGGACTGTGCAGCACTTAGGCTTATTGCAGTGTGGGCTGAAAAAGAACATATCTAATATAGACGAGATGAGCTCCCACCAAAACGGTGGTTGGTAAGCATAGTCTTAATATAAAAAGGAGGTTGGTGTGCTGAGCATTTACTGCCAAAAGCTCCACTTTTAGAAGCCAATTAGCTTGAAACAGATTCTGTGACATTTGCATGCAAACATACTAAAGGGAAAAAAAATCCAACTTAAGCCAATTATCATTAATATCTTTAAAACAAGAAATGTGGGGGGGTTTCTACCCTCCTGTCCAAAATGATCCCTTCCCCAATAAAGCAGAGCTTTACTTTTTGTAATGTTTGTCTCAAAGGAAAGCTATGACATGTGATTACTGTAAAAGTGCAAGTCAGATATTATTGTTACAGAGTAACAACCCATATTTTTTCACTGTAGAAATTTTATACGTTTAATCTCTGCCTAGAAAAATGAAATTCTTAAATCCATCTTTGAATCAGGTTATGCTCATAGAGTAATATCAAATTATATTATTACAACTTTACATGCTAAAAGAGTGAGCCTAAATAGACTAACAGAAATTTTAACTCAGCTTTGGAAGGCAGAATGTCCAATTTGTCTTTTGGGTACGTCTTGTCAACATATCTGCCATTTGATCTTTCTCACACACAGACAAGAAAATTAATTACTGATAGTGCGGTTTCTCATGCTATTCATATAAAACTGCTTTTGGCTCACTTTGACACTTCACTCAGACATCTAAACATTTTCCAGTTGGCATAAGCTTGTCCCTAAGCAAAAGGCAGAATCTCATTAAAGCCACTAACTGGTCAATTTTGATGAGTCACACCTCTGTCAACCAGCCAGAGTCAAGAGAATTTTCTTTGTCTTTGTGCAAGTTACCAAAATTTATTTCAAATCAGTACAGGGTGAGAGCAGAGGAATACACGTTAGCAGCAGGACTGAGAACTTGAAGAGAAATTTGGACCACAAATGTAATCCCCCCCCCACCACCCCCCCGTCTTTTTACTGTTAACACAAAGTTTTTGTCAGACAGGGGATGGGACACAAATTCTTTGTAAAGAGCAATGTCTTTGCTTTCAAATGTGTGAAGTTTGCCAACAGTGGTGGTGTCAGTACTAGCAGAGCAGTGAACAGGAGCCGTTTTTGTGTTTGTGTTAGATGCCCAAATAATTGCTTGGGCTTGGAGTCTGTGTTTAGTTTCTGTGGCATTGCTTGACGAGGCGTTCGGCTGAGTTGTTCCTCAGTGTTTTGGTATCCTTCATGGTTGGATTAGTGCTTTTTAACAATGACATCTGTACTGCACACATCTTATGCAGCTCCCTGGAGGGGGGACTATATTTATACCAAAGAGTAAAGACATGAAACAAAGGATTCAGAATTGGTTTCATTATTTTTTTTTATTTTTTATTTACAGCTGAGAACTGTATTTTTAAGATAAACTGAAACATGGTTATTATTTTTGGACACTTCAGAACAAGGCAAAGCAGTTTGTTGAAATGCCAAAACGTCTTTGCTTTCCAATGTCTGAAAACAGTCCTTCAACCTATAATTTACTGGAACCTTTAAAAGTTTTTTTTAGAACATTTGCAGGAACATACTAAAAGTCAATATGTAAGCTACTGCAAAATAAAAATTCAGACAGCAGAGCAGAATTTGATGCAATGAGTAGTGTTATTATGCCAACATGCTAGTGACTGGTATAAGCATATGAGATACCTGGGTGATCCCCACAGCCCCCAAAAGAATGAAAAAACGTTTAGACCTACACAGGCATCTATTTTTGATAACATAACCGCAGGCAATATCCATGCATCATATTTGACAGTGAACTGATATCACATTTCCAATCTTGTAAAATAAGTGGACCAAGCAAATCACTACATCACACATGCACCCACACTTTTCACTTTGGACGAATGCACAAGAGTTCAAACTCCAGGTCAGTTGTTTCTTTATTCACCTGAAGCTGCAGGTGAATAAAGTAATTCTACAAAACCTAATAATGTACACATGCTTGGAATGAACACGCTATGCAGTTTTGCTACTTTCATAAATGAGAGATTATGTGCATGAATGAGATTATGTGCAAATCCTGTATGCAAACAGGCTTGTGGTTGTCCATCATACTTTAGTGCTATGAAATGACCTGTAAAAGTAAACTTCAATCATCTCAACAATGGACTCAAACTGAGTTTAAAGTGAACAACTTAACCCACACTGAGCATAAGGCCTGAAGCTGCAAGTTTGCAGTACATATGAATACTATGCAACACCGAGTAAATGTATCATGCTCACATCATGGAGGCTACACAAACATTTTTGTGTCACTAACTTGCTCATTGTTGACTATCCTGCACTGTTGCTGACTGAAAACTAAATTCAATCAAAGCACAGCAGCAGGTATTGATAGTGGCTTCCAGTCAAACAGCCTTTGCACTGATCAGCTAAAAGCAACATGATATCATCCTGGGGTTTCTCAGATTCCAGCCAATATTAATTAACCACAATTTACAAAGACCTTATTGTGTTCCTTTGTGGCAAGACATAAATGAAATATTCCCTTTATGTCTTTGCCAAATGTTTCAGATAGAACATGTAGCATCAGTGCATAAATTGTGTCCTGTGCACAGTTAAAGGGAGACGGTTCTTATTTGCATATCACTTCTATTTTTCACAATCCAATTAACATTCACTGTAACTTAGAGGGCAGCACCACATGTCAGCACAGCAGAGCACTTATCTTTTCCCCTATGGCATAGGTCGTTCTAGTAGGGCTTGCCAGTGTCGTGAGGTTGGAGACAGGTAATTATGACTTTGTGCAAATTCCTCCTGTTGCTGAATGCACCGACATTATCACAGGAGTAAAGAGCTCTATTATTTCACAAAATGCATTGTGTGGACAAATCGTTGACTTCGTGTATGATCAAAACTAAATAGTTTAAAATATATAACCATTGAGGTTAGCTCTCAGAAGTCTAGAAGTTTAGTTTAAAGAGATAACCACAATCCCCCTGTTGCTTTTGAAAGGAGTAAATTGCTCTTTTGCCATCTTGACTTTGACTATTTTTAGCCATAGATTATAGTCTGTGACCTTGTCAGTCATTGCTACTGATGATTTATAAGTACAATACATCCATAACATTTCTTACTGCCTCCACAATGGGTCAGAAACTTGGAACAAATAACACCAGCCTTCCCAAAATTAAGTGTTTAATCATCAAAATAAAGATGCTCAACCAGGCCAAGCAGAATGTTAGATTTCTGAGACACATTTTATATAACCTAAAATATCTATAGTCCTTAAAGATCTAAAATATCCATAGCCCATAAGGATATATTTTTTTAAAGTAGCCAACACATTTCTGGCAGATGGAGCATGTCAGTACAGGTCAACTAAACACCTGGAGTATCAGATAAGCAAGTAGAGGTACACAGTAAATTATTTCTCTTTCCTAATGCTTTTATCTTCTATGATAAAACATTTGACTTTGTAAAGGAATTTCAAACGCTGAGTTAACAATTAGAATTCTGTAAATAATAATAGAACTCATTGGCAACTTGCACAGCGTTTTTCAAGATCCTATCAGTTCAATTCATTTGCTAAAAAATATATTCTGCAACAACGATTAAAAAAAAGAAAGAAAAAAAACAAAAAACAACCTTCGGCATTCATGAAACATCTAACCAGTCTTACCTTCATAAACTGCTTTAAATCCCTGCCCGCTGACAGCATAATCAGATAGCAGCCACAAGGTGAGTCTGGAGCCTGTACTCACAATAGGTGAAGGCAGCTGGAACCCAGTTAACCTAAGGGGGAAAAAATAAAAATAAGAAAAAAAAAATTCAGTCCTGTGATCCAAACCATAATACAATCAATTGCAAAAGTACTAAAAAAAAGGCTCAAGTAAGCTTGCTTTGCATTTTTCACCTAAATGCAAACTTACCAATGCAACTGTAAAGAAAACTTGGTGAGCTTTGAAATCATCTATCCACTGTCAAAAAATCCTAAATAAAACACGACAACTTCCCATATTTAGCATTTCTTTAGCAAATGGTGCAACTGTAGTTACTGCAAACATAAACCTGCAGTGGAGTCAGTGTGGGAAGAAACACAGAGACAGATACCAAAAAATTTAAGACAGAGTAAATAGTCATTTTTACCAATGTGTCATATTTAGATGGGGTTTTTCCAGTGATCAACATTTTTTGAGGTGTTTAAAGACCTTTTAAATTCTCAATGAAACAAAAAAGATCTAATTAAGAAGCTTAAACCGACTGATTTGATTGTGTCAATTTTCTAGTTCTATAACACATTTCAGCTCCAATCAAACAAGTAATTGGTACTTTGGTAAACATTACTTATAATTTTAGGGGTTCTTAAAGTTTGGTAGTAGAGAAAAAAGGACATGTAAATTTCTTGTTTGATTAATTGAATACGTTTCAAATGTAATAAAAACTGACCATCCTGCCCTTTTAAAAATGGAACAAAACAGTTTCAGCATTAATTGGCAGCTAATAAAAACTGTGATCATCACACCTCTGAGATCCAATAACACATCAAAGATCCAAAAACACCTACATTTAGGGATGGAAGAAGTGCTATTTTTAACTCTGTAATTCACATTGAGAACATGCAGCTGAAATTATCTATTAACTTTTGTGCTACCTTTGATTTGCAAGTCCCAAATGTTCTAAAGAAACATCAAATGAGCATTCTGTTCCAAGTACAGGCCAACGCAGCAAATAAAACCATACCACAAGTCAGTAAATATTATTATGCAAACTAGAACTTTGATGTTGAAACCAAGTCACTCAGATATATATCATACACAGACACTCCAGAATCAGACCACCAGATCAAAGCTAGTGACAATGTATATATTATTGTAGTCAAATTGAATACACCATATGTAAATAATAATAACTGTCATTTTCTTGCCTCCTTGACTGCATATATTTTGATCAATTTCATGGCCTAGTGAATGGTACCAAGCTGAAAGAAGGTTTTATTGCCACTAAATTTTCAGGTTCCTGTGAGATCACCATCTTACATTTTCCTTATTACTTTTTTTTATATTCAAGGATAAATTGTTTGATTAAAAACAGAAAAAAATGTATATCCTTTAATAATTGCTCAAATATTCTGGAAGTCAGTCATGCCATGAGTGACTCATTTTCTAGCATTCACGAAGGGAGCTATATGAAACATCAACAGTGTAGCGCGAGGTTGAGTAATTGCATTTGTAGGGCTTTGCTGGAATTTTTGATTCACTGTCATATTAACTGTCTTGTAACATTGCACATGTGTTTTACACATAGTGTATAAGAGCTGCAGCATCATGCACTGGGCACTTCCAACATGTTTAGCTTGTGGCAGCCAAACTGCGTAAGCTACAGTTCCAAATGCGTAGAAGGCAATGCCAGATTGTTGAGGGTTTTTTTCCCCCCACATTGGCATTGCATCACTCTACTCTACTGAAAAGAAAATAAGCACCACCAAACAATCTTACGACCTAATAAACTTGTCTGGTCATGTTTCATTCAGTCTGAAATCATTCACTTAACACAGCTTACTGAACACCCAATGTCAACTTTTTAGACTAATTCCACTCTATAAAGAACAGAGTGTGAGAAAAATCTATTTTCCATGAGAAACTTAAAAACTACTGCAAAATTTTGCATATTTTTGCTGAAGTCGAATGTCTCAAAAGCCAAATAAATAATCCTCATCAAGAATCCCTTGTGAAAAAGGGATTTTATTTTACACATGATGGTTACATAAAATGTTTCAAATCAAGGAAAAGGACAAACCTCAAAGGCATATTTTGTTGAGAAACGGTGGTAAAAGAATTTGGATAGCTAAAGGTGTTGTCACTGGAAATCAGAGGTAATGTGTGATGGTATTAGGTTTGTCACTCTGCAGCCTCCAGACACCATGCATTATATAGAATCAGTGAGTTTCTTTTAGTATATCTGTACTAAAAGTTTGCACACATTTTAGATATGCTTAAATACATGCATGTTTATGTACCTTTCCTGATGTGTTTCAGTTTTGTTCACTTCCCCTAAATTAAGCTGGACTTAGTCATATCTAAAGAAAAAAAATACTGATAATGAAGCTCTTTCTCAGAAAATGTTCTTCCAAATAGTTTATCTTAGCCGTTATTGTATGAGTCCATGAACCTTTACTCTTAATCCATAGCCAGTGATCCGATAACTGGGGAACTAACTTGAATCTATCAAATTTTGTTGTCTCGACAGCTTTTTCTTGGATTTGTATTCAGTGCCCCTGAGTGAACACTTCCTAGAAACAAAGACAACTTGGTTTGACCCTGCCACATCTTTCAAAGGATATTTGATGGCAACAATCTAGGAACATCAAATTGAAGTCTGCCACAGATCTCCAATTGCACTTAGGCTCGGACTTTGACAGGACCATTCACACCCATAAATGTGTTTATCTAAACCGTTCTGTTGTAGCCCTGGCAGTATGTTTAGTGCTTTTCTACTTCTGAGAGCTGAACCTCCACCTCAGTCTAAAGCATTCTGCTGCATATAACCAATTTTCTTTCAGGATTGCCCTGCATTAAGATCCATTTTCCCTATCAACTCTGAGCAGCTTCCCTGTGCCTACTTGTTTTTGCCAGTCTTCCATGAAGGTCAGATTTGCAGAGAGACCAGCTAATAGTTGTCCTGCCAAGATTCTGGCACCTGAGCTGTAGCTTCTCTGCATCTCCTGCAGAGAAAAAAATGCAATTCTTTGTTGCTTCTGTGATAAAATTGCTTTGCTTGCCAAGTAATTTAAGGGGATGGGCATATGCTGGCATGCCTGCACTTCAATTTTCTGATAATTTACTGAAAATGGCTCACATTGTTCAGTGCTAGATTATTATTTCAATATAATTATAAAAAAACACACATCCGATTTTGTTTTACAGTACACCTGTATTTCTACAGATTAAATTACACCAAGGTGGAAAGTAATTTCTAATAAAGGCAAGTTCCTAAAACAATTTATTAAGATGGGTTTTTATTTAAGGATGCCAAGGGAGGGTGAATACAGATGCAAACCTTTTAGATTTTTAAGAACAAAACTGACATCCATTAATTTTTCATCCACTCTATAAAACACCTATAAGATTCACTAAAGTTGTTCTAAATGTTGCATGTCAAAATGTGTTATTTCAGTGCAGTACATTTTAACTTAAGAGTTAATATATTTTATCTGTCTACATGAATGCTTACTTTGAGAACTTGTATAATAAATATTCTAAAAAATAGGTTGGGATTGTGCATTAAGTTTTCAATTCAAATTAAAGCAGTTTAAGATCTTTTCAGTGACTGTATCAGTTATATCTATATCAGTCTAATAAAATTTGTTTTCTTTCATTATATTGTTGCTAATTACACAAAACCAGTCCATTATTCAAAATCTTATTGCATAGCATTTTCATAGCCACTTGATACCATTCATAACCAGTAAAACAGTATGTCATGAAAGCTTTTATAGTCTTTAAAAGTGGCCCAAAAAATAGAGCTCGTCAGTTTAATTGTGATTTTCAAAAGGAAGACTTAAAAGAGCCACAAAAGTATCATCGCAAATTTTTTTGAAAAGGTACTAGGATTAATCAGCATATCTTACACAATGAGGCAAAGTAATTATATAATTTTGGCAAAGAGCCTCTTTGTGTTAGGAACAACATTCTGCTGCAGCATTGCCATTTTTAGCAATCAAAACAATTTACCACCCACAGAGCGGCAGAGATCCGTCAGAAACCCAGACAGACACAGGCAAATTGAAATGCAGGTGTCCTCCGCTCATTTGTTGCCCATCGCCACAAACTGATCTGCCTGTGCATGTGGATCGCCACGAAGAATCAAAATCCTTGTGTACATATTCTGACAGAGGACAGTGTTGCTGGCCAAACTCAGCTAATTGTTTAAAAGTCACTTTTATTTTTATTTTTTCCCCATTTGCAATATGTGCCCCCTCTCTCTCTCTCATTACATGTTTCATCTTATAGAATTTATTACATCCCACTTTTTTATTTCTAAATATTAAAATGTGTTTAAGTGTCACAATGCAGGGGGGAAAAAAAATCCCCCAAAGCACCGCCTATGTATGATAAACTAAAAAGAAGAGACGCAAATACACGCCTGTGGCAAACCAAGAAAGATTGCCACATGCTAAACGACAGGACACATGTTCATGCAAATAGCCCTTTTACTTGACCACAAATTGAGTTGGAAGGCAGCCATCTTGGTCCAGCAGCAGCAGCAGCAACACTGCGGGAAAGTGGGGGATTAGATAGAGGGTGTAATGCAGAGCCCGAGGAGAAGGGGCGGTCAACAAACTGGGAGGGATTCTCGCAGCGTCCAAATCGCGATCGTCAGGCATGAGCCAGATACGGCCCTGAATCACATGCCAAGCACAGATAAAATTGGAGACACACAGACGCTGGTTTAATGCGTGAAGGCTGGAAAGATGACATTTTGCTATGCAATACGGGCAACGGCAATCTGTGAATTTGTGAAAATGAAAAGGGAAAAAAAAAAAAAAAAAAAAAACCTGCCACGGGAGTCTGCTGCTGTTGTCGAGGGAAAGCTGCGAGAAAATGTTGACATTGCAACAGACATGGTAAAGAATAGATTTCCTTCACAGGTGTCTCCAGTGAGCGACAGATTGATGAAGAGAAGGGGGAAAAAGAGGCATAGAGAGATTTAAAAAGAACTCTTTTTTTTTCTATTATAAAAACAAAAGGAACAATTATGTTCTCCAGAGAGAAGGATAAGCCTATGTGTTTATA